GACATTCCTTGGCAGCAGACTTGGAGACACCAGTAATCTGCCTACTTGCTCAGGTTAATTTATACGCAGTGACGGTATGAACCTAACTTATCTGACATTCCACTCTGCCCATTGGGTGGGTTTCTGTCAATCACGGGCAGTCAGGTTGAAGCCCACGAAAGGCACCTACCAATACCAAGTGTTCCCGTACCCATTAGGAGAGATTACCCAATCATGTAAAACCAAGTTTAGAGTTCTTTCCCCTCCCTCTGTAATGGTGTATAAAGACTGCTTGCCATGCTGGATCGGGGCTCTCGTCCCTGAAGCCACAGCCGGCTTCGTTCGTGAGCCCAGACTCGAGCCTGAATAAAGACCCTTGTGTGTTTGTATCAGAGCTGGCTCTTTGGTGGTCTCTCAGATTTTGAAATTTGGGTTTAACAGTTCCAGCTACTCGGAAGGTTGAGGTGGAAGGATCGCCAGAGTCCAGCAGGTCGAGGCTGCAGTGGCTGGGAGCGGCCACTGCACTCCAGTCTGGGTGACAGAGTGAGACTCCAACTCAAAAAAAAAAAGAATGTGGACATGATACAATATCTAAAAGCTGCAAAAAGTTCAGGAGGAAATGAAGTCTCTCACCCTCTCAACATTCATCCTCCACGTTCTCTGCCAAAGGTGTCACCCACTTCAAATTTCTTGTGTGTCCTTCCCTAGAGGCTTCTCAGTAGACCACAGTGAATTGAATGAGTGAGTCACTGAGGTCTGGTGCTGGAGAAGTGTGGGCAGAAGTGGGCAAGGGAGGCCAGGTTGGTGTGAGGAGGCCCCATGCAGGGAGAGGGCCTGTCAGGCTCCTTGTGGTGCCAACCACAAGGGCATGCAAGTCGGAAACAGACTTCCCAGTCCATGGGAGGAATTTTCACAAGAACAGAGGGTAGACATAAACTCTTCCATGAGTCAGTGGGGCTGTCCACAGAGGCCCCTGGGATGCTAACACTGACATCAGGCTCCTGGTTTCTGCACCTGGGAGGGCCAGTCTGCAGCAGGTTGGGGCACATAAGAGCCAAGGGCAGAACCACCCATTCCTACACAGACTTTTGTATAGAGGAAGGAGGAAGGACATTAGAGACTTGATGGGAAGTCCATGTCATGGGGGCTGAGAGGGAACTTTGATCAATTTCTGCCTCCAGGCCCATTCCATGGGGGCCACTCCACTGCTGAATTTAGACAGTGGGGCCCTGGGTGAGTCAGGCACCCCCTCAGCTATTGCATGAGATTCAAGACTAAGAAGTGACTCAGGACTCAGGGCCCTGACCCCAGGTCTCCCCTTAATACCTGGAGACTTTGCTCAGCCCACCCCCCTCTCTGGCTTTCTTCAATGGCCACTGTGGGTCACAACACCAGAGCTCCACCCCCAGGGCTCCTGTGAAGCTCTAACCTGAAGATGGCAGAAGAGTTGCCCTGCCTCCCTTCTTAGCCTTGGAGCTCCCACTGGGCTCTGATGTGATCTACTAGATGCAATAATGAGCAGAAGAGTAAGGATTTAAATCAGAATTCTGGGATTATTACTTGATTTTGATGCTTACTAGCTGAGTAAATTTGCGTTTCTGAACTATTTTCACCTCAATTTCCTCTTACTAAAATGGGAATAGTAAATCCACCTCATAGGGTTCAGAGGATTAAAGGGGAAATGCAGGTTTCAGCAGGTATCTTCATGCCTAGCACATAAAACACTCAATGAGAGGCAGTGATAGTTAAAGTTAGCTGTCAGAGCAAGTTGGTAGGACTGAGTGTGTGAACAGAGGCCATCCTGCCTTCTAGAGTCTGAAACTCCATCCTCTTTGTGTCCATGTCCCGGTGTTCTCCCTCATCCCCATTTCCTGTATTATTCTGACACATGCATTGGTTGTCTCAGTCCCAGATGAAGGGTGGGACAGGAGACAGCTCCAGGTGATGCCAGTGCTGAGCTCAGCCTCCAGGGTGTGTCCTACCCACCTGAAGTGGGGTAAGGCTCTAGGAAGCAGGCACAGAGGGGGCATCAGGGCTCCCAGCCCCCAGAAAGAGACAGGCTGAGCCTTATAAAGGGATGGCTCTTCGCTGGGTACACAACTCACTCAGCCTCCTTCTTCTGACACTTCCCCAGCTCCAGTGAGTCTCATCTGCCTCTTTGCCTTTCTAGGAAAAGTTCCCAGTGCCAGCTGCTGTGCTGCCTGCTGTGGGTGAGGATGCAGAAGACTGGGGTCTGGTCACAGCTCTGCCACCCACAAGATACTGTGACCTGCACTCTGAGCATGGGGGTTCTCACCTGCACAAGCAGGTGGCTGGACAGACCCTGTCCATTGCTCCCTTTGGGTCTCCTGAGACAATGCTTATGGAAATGTCCCAGTGGGGGCTGAGGACAGGACCCTCCCTTTCCTTCCAGTTTCTTTCTCCTAGATACTCCCTCCTGTCAGGGTCTAATGTTGGGAGCCAACATATGTAACCACACAGCTGAGGCCTATGAAGGCCTATTCAGAAGGTCGCCTATGAGACAAGGATATAACATCAAGTGTGTACATATGAATAGTAACCAGTGTATTATAAGACAACAGAATTTTCAATATTAGGAAGTGACAGTCTAAAATAAAATCTTATTATATCCTATGAAAAATGCACAGCAGAATTATTTTATATCTCTTTTTCTTTCTAAACTGTTTTTCTTCTTAAGTTTTTTAGCTGTTATTTCCTGGTAAACTGATTGATTAGCTTTTGTTCCAGTATGTAGTTTCATTTGGGGTTATGATTAGACGTTATAACTGTGATAATAGTTGTATTATGTTGCTTTTGGTCAAGCAGAACGTTCTTGGTTTTTGTACGTGCAGTAACTTTCAGCTTGCTTCAGTCCCCGGCTGTCGTTATGGCAACTGTGCAGTTCATTGTTTTAAGTGGCATGGCAGGTTTTGAGACGTAGGTAGTTTCCATGTAATAGGCAATCAGATTTAGGTTTTAGGTTAAAATGTCATTGAATTAAGTTTTATAGAACATAGAGTAAGTTCATAATTTTTATACTTATTAGTACTAATGATAAGGTTTGTAATAGATTATAGTAGGATAATAGTTGTATTAGAATTTAGACATGATATTATAAGATAAGTAATTAATAAAGTATAAAAGACAATAGTTTAGATATTTGAAATTTATAGAAGTTGTGATAAAATTTTAGGTTAAGGATAAGTTCATAGGTAATTAATATACAATCATAGGGCAGTATAGAAATGTAGTAGGTTATAAGAATTATAAAAATAAATAGTATAAAATTAAGGTAATAAAATTAAGTCATTTAAGTAAACTTATAGATTATAGTATAGTGTTAAGTTAATAATATTAATCGGCAAAAATATTAAAAGTTAGTAAATCGGATTGAACTTAGAGTTAACTTGGAAAGTTTTTTAATCAGGGCTTAGAACTTAGAGTATAATATGAATGATTTATTGAACATTGTGGAGAACATTTTGAACAATCTGTATTGAAATTGTGCACCTGTGATTCATACATCATGGAATTGTAATTGTTCGCTGGGAACCTGAAAGTCTTGTGATGGTACATGATTTGTAAAGCGTGTTACACATCAATGAATTTGTATGCCCCCAGCAAGTAATTGTCACACTGCTGGAGATTATAGAAAATGGTATATAAGTTGGAAAAAGTTTGAATAAAATTGGCTTCAGTCTTGGCCAGACTGTTCCCAGAAGAGCTGCCTCCGTGTGGTTTCTTCTCTCCGTTCTGATTCACCGGTGCGGTCCTAACCCCCCTTTGGTCAGTGCAGGTCACCGACAGTCTAAGATGCAGAATTCTCTCTCACCCTTCCCCACAAAGAGCACAGGGTTAAGGGTTTCCCTGTGAAAGCTTCAGAGGCTCTTTACCCCCACACCTGGGACTCCCACTCAACATACCCTGGTGAGATGACCAGTGCCTACCTGGTGAGGTACTGACCACCCAAGCTCCCTCATCCCCTGCTAACTACCACCTGGAAAATTCTCACTCTCTCTCTGAGCACAGAGCTCAACCCCCGGCCTCAACCTCAGCTTCCAAAGGCCTAGGGTGCTCTTCTTAGTGAGTTACCAGCAAGGAGGTTCCTCCTGCATTGGGAGGTGATGTCAGACATCCACATGCAGGAGTCAAGGTTGTTTTTTGGTTCTTGGAAAGTCTGGGATGCACTGTCCTGTTTCTCTGGCTTGGAGTCCAGTTCACTCCATACTCTGCCTGTTTCCTTAGAATTTACCTCAGGAAGTCTGATAGTGTCTTTATTTAAACACAATCAAGAGAAAAAAAGGGGTAAGATAATCCACAAGAATAGACAAACAGAAGTATCCCATCCGACATCACTGAATAGCTTAAGAACAAGGGAAGTGATTTCTGTTCCTTTTAACAGAGGCCAACTGTGGCCATCAGTCCAGCTTTCTCACTCCTTAGGTGGTCTTGTAATACTTTCTCTACTGTTCAGAACTGGGCTGCGTTTTCCGCTCATACCTGGAGCCTGTGTACTCCATGTCATGCGGAGCTTACAGTTGAGTCCTGTTGGACCCCCAGGGTGTTTTGGACCCGAGGCAGCCCAGGAGGGTCAGAGAACAGATCACCAAGGACATAGTCCTGCCCTCATGACTCTCATCCTGAATGTGAAGTTCAAGGAGATGGATTTGATGTTGTTTGAAGAGTGGAGTCTGCCAGCTGTTGAGTGTGGTTAGGATCCCAGGTTAGGTTTCAGACTTTTTCTGTGTTCTTAAAATCCCATCCTCTTTACTTCTCCATATCATCGGTGCTCCCCACAGCTGAATGTCTGCTGACCTCCTACATCTTCTCTTGGTCCCTGGCCACGGTGGGCCAGCTCCCAAATTTGACCTTCTAAGGAACTTATCCCATCACACTGAGAGAAAACAAATTCCTTCTGCTCCATCTGAGCCTTGCCTTCACTCTGTCCTCAGCCCTTATTCCATCAATCACCTGTGGACACACAACTCACAGGAAGCAAAACAAACTCATTGTCTGTCTTTCCTGCAGACTTTCTGAAAGCCAAGATGAGCAACACTCAAGCTGAAAAGTCCGTGATGGGCATGATCGACCTGTTCCACAAATACACCAGACCTGATGATACCATGGACAAGCAGGGCCTGTTGAAGATGATGAAGGAGAATTTCCCCAACTTCCTCAGTGCCTGCATGAGTCAGGGTCTAACCTCTCAATGTTGGTTGGGCTTTGGCATGACTGAGGATGCATTTTGTTATGTGACCTATGACAAGTCACCGTCATCTACTGGTTCAAAATGTTCTCATCTGCAATAGGGAGATAATAGGATTTATTTCCTGGCTCATTAAAGGGATCTAAAGATGATATATGTGAAAAAGTTTGAAAATGAAGAACAGTAATAGAGACATAAAGAATTCTTATTAGATGATTAGCAAAGTAAACGGTCCCTCCGGGCTGTCACTGACACTCTCTCCATGAAAGTAAGCCTCCCATGGCCAGGCCCTGCCTTTCAGATGTTCCAAATCAACATTCCTGAGATTAGAGTTAAGGTAGTAGAAATTCCATTATTAATAGAAATAAACATGCTTCTTTTTGTGAATCGAAGTCTCACTCTGGCACCCAATCAGGGCTACCGCAGCCTTGACCTGCTAGGCTCAGGCAATCCTTCTACCTCAGCCTTCCAAGTAGCTGGAACTACAGGCATGTGCCACCACGCCCAGCTAATTTTTTTAATGGTAGAGACGAGGTCTCGTCAAGTTGCCCAAGCTGGTCTCAAACCCCTGGGTTCAGGTAGTCCTCTCACCTCAGCCTCCAAAGTGCTAGGATTATAGACATGAGCTGCCACGCCCCCCCAACACCCTTCTTTCAGTTGACAAAGTTCATTAGCAAACCAGAAACAAAAAAATGTAGGTTACCATGTAATGTAGAGTTTAGGTGACCAAGAACAGGGAACTCAGAACAGATGAGTTTAGGTGGAAAAAGAGAAGAAAGGAGAAGAGAAATCAAGAATGAAAAGAAGAAGGTATCAGAAACTATTCTGAGTCAAGGGAATAGATCTAATGTAAATAGTGTCGGAAAGGGTAGAGCTGGGCCTTGAATCCCCCTCCTACCCCAGATCACTTCCCAGAGCACCTCTAGGCAGAGACTGTGTCTCACCCTGAGGTCTTTTAAGTCAAAGAACCTCCCTAAAGAACTACAGGATAGCACTCACATCCCCACCACATCTTCACCCACTTACCCTCTGTCTCAGCCACACCAGTCAAACCCGTGCAGATCTAGGTACTTGTCTCTGTCTCTGCCTCCTCTTCTCCCTCCCTAACCTCAAACCGGTTTGTCACCAAACTTTTCTTGTCTGTTTTTCTACTCACAGGACAAAAAGGGCAAAGATTACCTGTCCAATGTCTTTGAGAAAAAGGACAAAAGCCGAGCTCAGTGGCTCAGCCTGTAATCCCACGCTTTGGGAGGCTGAGGTGAGCGAATTGCCTGAGCCTGTGGGTTCGAGATCCGCCTGGGCAACCTGGCGAGACCTCTTCTCTACAATATATCAAAAAATTAACCAGGCATGGTAGCGCGCACCTGTAGTTGTAGCTACTTGGAAGGCTGAGGCGGAAGGATCGCCAGAGCCCAGCAGGTCGAGGCTGCGGTGGTCAGGAGCGTGCCACTGCACTCTAGTCTAGGCGACAGAGTTAGACTCCAACTAAAAAAAAAGGACAAGAATAAGGATCAGAAGATTGAGTTTTCCGAGTTCCTCTCCCTGATGAGGGACATAACCACAGACTACCATGAACAGAGCCATGGAGCGCCGCCCTGTTCTTGGGGAAGCCAGTGATCCCATCCAGCCCAGGGCCTCCAGAGACCCCAAGAAAAATAAAGTGTCTTCTACCTGACACGTGCTTTATTTCTTTCTTCTCTTTGATGACTTATGTTGTCAAAACTGCCAATTCTGTGTTACCTTTGTTGGAGAATCCCACCACCCCGGTGGATCACCCAGGAGTGTGCCCAGTGTCCCTCCTGTGGCCTCCCACAGAGCTGAGCCATCTCTCACAGGACCTCATGTTCTCCTCTGCTCCTGCCTCCTAAATGCAGCCACCAGGGAAGGTTCCAGGTGGCAGTTGATATAAGCCCCTGCCAGGTCACAACAATGTTCCTCTTTGTCAAGGGATGACCTGGCCATTCAATACTGCCCTGAGAAAGGGCCAGGGTTCCTCTGTGTGCTCCTGTCACCTGCTCCTGCCCCAGCTGTTCCTCTGAGGCTTGAGGAGACAGGCTCTCCCCGCATGAGGCATCCTTAGAAGGCATGAGGCTCATGACTGTGAATGGAAGGCAGGGCAGTGTCCCAAGGATGGGATCTCTTGTCCTGTGGCTCCCTTACCCTGCAGCTTGGGCTCCTGGGGCCATGTCCTTGTCTCTATGTCATGGGCTTTTGTGTCTATGAGGGGGACACTGTTGTCATGAGAGAGAGTCACTCTGATGCTGTGTTGTCCTCAATGATGGTGTGCTACATGCAAGGACTGGTTGTCTGGGGATATCAAGATGGCAATGAAAGAATGTTCAAGGTTTTGAGGAGATTAAGATAGTCCAGGAGTCCATGCAACCTATAAAATCTTTGTTAGGAGACTGGACTAAATAAGGCAGCGCATATGGGAATGCCACTAAGGGCTGAGAAGAAGAGCTTGTGGTGACTTTCATAAATTACAACCCCCTCTCTCTGCCAAATGAATGAGGCAGGTCATGACATGGTCTGTTCCAGGCCAGGCACTGTGCAAGAGCTGAGGATGCAGAAACAAACCGGACATGGGCCGGGCTGCCTTTGCAGAGCACTGGCTCGGCCCAGAGACATGAGAATCTCCATGGAGCCACGATGCAGGGTCAACATCCACCTGCTACTTCCACAAGATGTCCCCAGCAGCTACTGTTAGCACCCCTCCTTGAGGCTCATGTCATTGCCCCTCTTACCCTCCGGGGTTAGTTCCTGCTACCTCTCAATCAGGCAAACATTTTCCTGGAGGAGTCAGGCATTTGTCTCAAAAATTCTCTTTCCATCCTAACTACAGGAAATACATGGGGTGAGTTCTTTGTCCTTGTGGTTGGAAGGCCCAGTTCCTACTCATATCATTCTTGGAGTATCTTATTCACAGACCATCACCCCCATCTTCCTCAGGAGCATCCTTTCCTGACCCTATTCTGCTCCTTAACATCATTCAGGGCTTATATGCAATTTTCACCTCCAAATCCCAATGTCTGGTGATTCTCTGTCTCCTTCCTCCTGCTTTCCCTCCCTCAGTCTTGTTCTACCTGTTTTCAAACTCACACATGAGGTCTGACAATTAAGTTTATGAACTCATCCTAGAAAAGGTGCTGCATACCTCATTGCTGACTATCACTATGGTCACCTTTGAAGCACTCCCCTTGGAAAGCTATACAAGATGTCAGTGCCTAGTCCACCCACCAAAGCAATTTCAGAACTCTTCTTCTGGAATGACCATCAGAGCTGTCATCGTATTACCCTTGATGTCCTGAATACCATCAAAATGTCTTCCTTTCAATCTTTCCTTTATCTTCAGGTAAAGAAAAAAGTCACTCGGGGCCAGATCAGGTGAGTAGGGAGAATGTTCTAATACAGTTATTTGTTTACTGGCTAAAAACTCCCTCACAGACAGTGCTGTATGAGCTGGTGCATTGCCGTGATGCAAGAGTTCCTTCAGGATCATTTTTGCACACACCTTTCTCATGTGGAGATTTTCAGTTAAGATTTTCCTAACTGTTTCTCTATCAATGTTTATTTGATCTGCTGTGCTTCTCACAGTCAGCCAACAATTTTTATGCACAATGTGACAAGTTTTTGCAATGTTTTCATCAGTTCTGCTCGTTACTGGCTATCCTGACCTCTCTTTATCAATGATGCTTTCTCTCCTCTCAGAAAAACGTTTAATCCATTTGCACACTGCCATTTTAACATGGCATTATCCCCATAAACTTGGACTAACATGTCCCTGATTTCACTTCCACTCTTGCCAAGTTTAACAGTAAACTTAATGTCTGTTCATTGCTCTAATTCAAACTCTGACATTCTCTCAGTGGCACAGAAAAGCATGCAACAACCATAATGAATGCCACTCAGCAAGATACCACCATACGTTGACACAAACACAGCTGTGAGACACTGATATGCCAAGGTTATGAAACCTTAGCAGGTCGTTTGTACAGTGCTACCTAACATAAGCACACAGTGGCAAGTTCACAAACTTAATTGTCAGACCACATAGACCTGCAGTCTCTGGGCTGCTTCATTTTTTCTTCTTATCAACCCCTCCTGCCTTCTGTTTGTAGCCTCCTCCCTATAATCCACTACACAAATTGCTCTCTCACCTACTGTGGGCTGTATTGTCCACTTTCCTTGGGCCATAGCATCCCTGTAATCCTCTTACCTCAAACCAACCCCTCCATATTCATCTTCTTCCCTTCTTCTCCAGAACTGCCAGTTCCTTCTAGGAGCTATCATGCCAGAGTCCCAAGAGCTGATATATGACTTCCTCCCTACCCTACACTCTCTAAATCCCTCCTGCTAACCTAGCTCCTGTTATTCCAAGTGCTTGTGAACCCACCCCCACCAACATATCTTAGTAACTATTATGCATTATGTTGATGTTAAAGAGAAAGAATAATTGACATCTATTTGCTCACACTCACATGACACCTGCCAAGAGAAAAATTCTGGGACTCCAAAAGGTTCCAAGGAAACCTGATATCACAAGACTTCAGTAACTTTTGCATAGTTGATAAACATATCCAAGATGCAGGTGTGCTGTCCATGATGCTGACATTATTGTGACCTCTCTCCCCTCACCCCTACCTCCTTTCGTTTTCTTCTGATTCATATTCCTTCAACCTTCTCTATAGGACTCTCTTCTTCTCCCCCACATGCTGGTGGCTTTGGCGTAGGGTTCTGGCAGAAAAGACGGCAAATAGAATGATGTGGAGAAAAGCAGAATATCATAAAAAGTACTGTATGTTTGATACACACTCAGATTGTTTTTAATTCTCTGCCACCATAAGTACACTATGACGAGCATCCTCATACATGCCCCTAATGGACCTGTGAGACAATTTATTTAGTATTCAGAAAAGAAATTGATGGGTCATAGAGAATACATATATGTAACTATGTGTGAAAGAATATCTTATTAGTTTTTAATTTTCATTTTACAAGAGTTCTGACCAGCACCAGATAAGCTTCATTACTCTCCTTTCATTTGCCTCAATATTACTGGATTGAAGAATTACTATCTCTCACTAAGAGCATCATTTTATTTACCATTATTCTCAATTTTATACTAGAACTCATTTCTAATAGAGCCTTTGGTTACTTAAGTTCATTTTTCTATTTAAGTATTTTTTATATTTTATTATTGCTATCACTTTTAAAACTAAATTAAAGCAGTTCATGTGAAGCAGCTAGCTTCCTTGAGAATCACATATAAGAGTGTGAGAGACTTTATTTCGTGCAATCCAACAAAGCAGACTTTTTTTAAGTATGGTGGAATTCTACCTTGTATCCATGTTGCTCTGTGCACAGCTAGCATTATTACATCTAAGCTGAATATACTGCATAATGTACAGCTAGAATATATTGCCTATCCACTCCCTTACAAAAGCCTCCCTCACCCTTCTACTGCCTCCCACAACTTGCCACTACAAACAATTTTTATGTGTCTATGTGAACATTTATTTGGAGTATATGTATTGAAGTAGAATACCTGGGATATAAATTATATGTGATCTTAGCTTGCCAAACGCTTTCTCACCAGCAGTACCAAGAGTCTCTATAGTTCAATAGTACTACCAACATGTCTGCTTCTGACTATGGTATATTTTTGTAGCAGACTAATTATCCCAATGAAACATATTAAAAATGTGGATAAAATTCAAAAAACAACCTGTAAAAAGGCATCAGAAATCTACAAAAGTTCTTAGATCTGGTTACCCAAGGGAAAGAAAACTCAATAAATGAACGAAGCATTCTAAGCTACTTCCCTTCCTGAGAAATGTATTGATTCTTAAGTAGCTGGAACAAAGAAGTTGGCAAGCCAAACACAAAGTAACTTCTAAGAGACAAATAATTTTATTTAAGTTTTTTGTTTTGTTTGTTTGTTTTAGTTGGTGTCTCACTCCGTTGCCCAGGCTGGAGTGCTGCGGCACACTCACGGCCACCACAACCTTGATCTTCTAGGCTCCAGTGATCCTTCTGCCTCACCCGTCTAAGTAGCCAGAACTATAGACACGGACTACCACACCCCGCTAATTTTTTTATTTATTGTAGAGACGAAGTCACGCCAACTTACCTGGACTGGTCTGGAACTGGCCGGCTCAGGCGATCCACTTGCCTCGCTCCCAAAGTGCTGGGAATACAGGCTGAGCCACCGAGCCCAGCCTATTTAAATTTTCAATAATCATTCAGGGATGGTGAGATTAAAATTAGAGTTCAGGACTTCCAACACTGCCAGAACTTGAAGGACCAAAATTCTAGATAAAAGGGATGAGCCTTTCGATTTTGTGGTAGAGGGTTTTTTAGAAAACGCTTCAGCTGGGCTCGGTGGCTCAGCCTGTAATCCCAGCACTTTGGGAGGCTGAGGTGAGTGGATTGCCTGAACCCGTGGGTTCGAGACCCGCCTGGACAACTTGGTGAGACCTCATCTCTACAATAAATCAAAAATTAGCTGGGCGTGGTAGCCCGTGCCTGTAGTTCCAGCTACCCAGAACGCTGAGGCAGAAGGATCGCTGGAGCCCAGGAGGCTGGGCCTGCGGTGGCCGGGAGCGGCCACTGCACTC